TAGATGAATTCCTTCTAGCTCACTTTTTATATGAATTAGAAAATGATATCACAACAATTTCTGACTTACTTCTAACAAACTCTTCTTCGAAATGAAAAGCCAAGTCTTACTCATTCTTTAATACCTTCCAACCAACTCTTCCTCCAAATGTGAAAGTAATGAGGCTGCATTTCATGACGGTCTTACAATCAACTTTACCATCCAAATGGAAAGTCATTTCACACCAATTCATGAGTTCCTTCCATCCAAATTACTTCGAAGTGGAATATTGTTGCACACCAATTAATGGATGACTTACAATCAACCTTTTCTTCATAATAAAAAGTCATCTCACACCAAAAACTTAATAAATTCGATGCAACTTTCCAACCGAAGTAGAAAGTCGTGTCCTACCAATTCATGTATTCCTTCAAAACCAATTTTCCTTTGTATTGGAAAGTAATGTCACACCATATCATGACTATCTTCCAACCAAATTTTGCATCGAAATGGATAAATATGAGACACTAATACATGGATTCCTACTAAACCAATTTTTCCCGCGAATTTGAAGGTCATATTACAGCAATTGCTGAATTCCCTCCAACCAACACTTCCTTCTATATGCAATATCATGTCCTGCCAATACATGAATTCCCTTCAACTAACTTGTCCTTCTGATTTGGAATTAATTTCGCACCATTTTATGAAAACCTTGCAAACAACAACCCCTTCGAAATTGTAAGTCATATCTTGCATGTGCAAGAATTCCTTCCAATCACATTTTTCTTCGAAATGTAATCTCATTTCACACCATTTAATGGATCACCTCTAAACAAATTGTCCATGGAAATGGAAAGTCATATCACACCATTTCATGAATTGCTTCCAACCAAATTTTCTTTCGAAATGGAAAGTAGTGTTACTGCAGTTAATGCATTACTTCCAATCGAATTTTCATTCGAAATGTAATGAAATGTCATTGAACTGCATGATTACCTTCCAAAGACATGTCACTCCAATTTTCATTTGAAATGAAACTTAATGTCACTCCATTTTATGAGCCCTTTCTAACCAAATTTCCCTTCTGAACAGAAAATCATATCACAACAATTTCTGAATTACTTTCAATTAACTTTTCTTTAGAAATGAAATATACCACATCCCACCATTTCATGAACTCCGTCCAACTAAATTTTCTTTCAAAACGGAAATTCATATTACACAAATTCTTTAAATTCTTCAAACCGATTTATGCTTTGAAATATACAGTCCTGTCGCATCCATTCATGATTCACCATCAAGCAAATTTCCTCTGAACTGGAAATTCATGACACACCCCTTGCGTAATTTCTTCCAATCAACATGGGAATATCATGTTTCACCAAGTCAGGAATCCTTCCAAGTGAAGTTTCTTTCGAAAGAGCAACTCATGTAACTCCAATTCCTTAATACCTTCCAATCAACTCTTTCCTCGAATTTAAAAAGTAATGACACCATATTTCACGATCGCTTTACAACCAACTTTACCTTCATGATTTACTTCGAAATAGAATGTTGATTCGCACCAATTAATGAATTACTTCCAACCAACTTTTTCTTCGTATTGGAAAATCATTTCACACTAAATTCTTAATACTTTCCAAGCCAATTTCCCTTGTTACACAATTTTATGAATTCCTTCCAGCCAAATTTTCCTTCGAAATGGAAACTCTGTTGGTTCAAACTAATAAAATCTTTTCAACTCTATTTTTATTTAAAAGTTAATTTCATATCACACCACTTCATTAATTCATTACAAACATATTGTCTTTGAAATGTTAAATCATGAAGGAATTCTTCAAGATCCCATTTTTTTATACACTATGATTTGTTTTTTTGACGAACTGTATTCACCCTGTTCAGGGAGAAAACACCTATTCCACACACTTTATTTTGAAGTCAGTTGCCCCATACATCCCAAACTTTCAGGTTATTTGTTTGGTGGCCGACAAGCGTATTCACGGTTCGAATCTGGCCCCTTTTTCGACGTGGGGTTCAGCAAAAAGCCGTACCTTTCCTCTAATGAATCGAGATCAGAATGCAAATCACTCTGCTACCATTGGCTCACAAGTCCTGGGTTCGAGCCCTGTTGCCTAGGCTGCTGAGTTCCGAGCAAAATCGATACCTAAGCCAGCCATGCGCAGAGGGATTCTCTAACCAACATCAAAACCCACATGCAAAACTGTGCTCTCTCTCTCTCTCTCTCTGTCTGTCTGCTTGACTGTGTCATTCTTTTTTTCTCTCTCCCAACCTGGACTGAGGCTTCGGCCGCACCCGGGTTGCATCAGGTTCTGTTCTATTTCGGATAACGTTGGTATTAAGTTCATCGTCAAGACAAAGCCTTTTTGCTCTTTTATCATTTTGCATGTTCAGCCTTTGCGTTCAGGGGATGTCCCCTTCTTCCTTCATTTGCTTGACGTGTTATTCTTCCTCCCATTCGTACGATTGGTGATACGGACGCGGCTGAGCCGATTTCTTCTCTTTTCTTGCTCGCTCTCCTTTGCCCTCTTGGCCTTTTTGTCGCTTCCGCTCTTTGCATTTCGCCCTGACACCTAATTTATCATGCGCAGTTTTCTGTTGGTCGGTCGAGTATCTGCATTGTCTTTCTGCAAAGACGATCACGGATAGTCTTTGCCTCGGTACATCCGTCAAGCCGGGAGGTACCGCAATGCAGATTGTAAACAAGTCGAGATGAGCAGAGAAAAGTGGCAAGATGCACAACGCTCCAGGCTCTCCATCCCAACGTTGAGTGTATTTGCACGTATGTGTAGACTAAACTGTCCATTTGTGTGTGCACTTGTGTAGGTGTATGTGTGTCTGTGTGTCTGTGTTTGCGTGTTGACTTATGCTTGGCGTCAGGTTATTGAATTGACTCTTATGATTAATAGATTCTGTCAGCAGGCCTTTTAAGCCGAGATGGCAGGGCAGATGGGCCGACGAGTGAGGACGTCTGGCCGAAACGAGATACGAAACGAAGCAAATCGCGCCTCTTCAGACACCTCCGTTGGCTGCAAGACTTGCCACGGCCTACAGCCTGGGCTTAACCTACCTGCGTGGAAACCTGCCATCGAGGTGATTTATTCTGAAATACACTCTTTCTCTCCATTTATATACATACATTTTTGTCCCATATGCCCAAACACTCGGCGTCAATACGGCCAAGACGTGGCTTCGATCAGGTTGTGACCTCAGACCCGTCAGAGCCACTGAAAACGCCCAAACCGAGGTCAGCGACACACAAACAACCGGTTTGTTGCGACCGACCACCAACCCGAGGAAACCGGTAGCAGGGTCAGGAGGCGATTACGCAACTGCCTGCCTCCGAACGCCAGATTGCTGTATCAGTACGGAGGCTGAAACAATTTCACTGCAACACAATTATTTGAATTAGCATTAGTATTAACATTAACATTACTATTCCTATTCGTATTAATGTTGCCATTAGTACTCTCATTTGTATGAGTATTAGTAAGTAATAAAGCTAATATTATTAATGGTAGTGGTATATCTATTACTAATCGTATTCGTATTAATGTTACCATTAGTACTCTCATTTGTATGAGTATTAGTAAGTAATAAAGCTAATATTATTAATTTTAATGGTATATCTATTACTAATCGTATTCGTATTGATGTTGCCATTAGTACTCTCATTTGTATGAGTATTAGTAAGTATTAGTATTTGCATGTGTGTTTATATTATTAATGGTAGAGATATATCTATTACTATTCGTATTCGTACTCGTATTAGTATTAGTATTAGTAACAATATTCGTATTCATAC